TCCCATGAGTTTTTAGCAATGAAATTTAAGGCTATCATGTAATACGTCCTTTCTCCTTTCAGTGTTAAAATGTTATTTCCTTTATGGAGTAATCTGGTGATAGTATATGGCATATTGGTTGGTTTTTGTTTGTTTCTTTTTAATATGCCTACTGACAAAATTTTTACATTAGCAAACATATATTAATTCATTGAAAGTATTTCAATATTTAACCATGTCTGAAATTCAGAATTCTGGCACCATTTCTGAAAGGCAGTTGTGATTGTCCTCTAGCAAAATTCTCATTAGGATAGGAGAGTGGAGATTTCAAAAAGAAAATGGTCACAAGCCCACGCCTTCCCTGAGTTGTTAAGACTCTAAGATAGTTTTAGGCTAAATCTTAGGAAAATTTGACCTGGGTTACTCTGAAGATTGCATTCCCTTTTTCTCTGTCTATCAGGGAAATAGTCCTTAAAAGTTGTGTCAGTTGGGCGCAGTGCTCACGCCTATAATCCCAGCACTTTGGGAGGTCAAAGCAGGAGGATCACTTGAAGCCAGGAGTCTGAGACCACGCTGGGCAACATCGCAAAACTCTCATCTCTATTTTTATTTTTTAAAACAGTTAGTATCAAGTATGTGGTTGTAATGAATTAGCAAAGCCTCTAAAGGAACATTATGTGCCATTTAATCAGAACCAGGCTTCGAGGACACTGTCCTTTTTGTGAGACACCACATGTGACTTCCTGCTCTTTCACCTTTGGAACTCTGGGTCAGACATAGACTTTGGTCCTTAAAAACAAGAAGCTTAAATAGTGACTTCATCATCTTAGTTCTTATAATGTAATCGCACATCAAATAGCCATGATTCATAAACCAACACAAAGGGGCCCTTTGCTTCCTGACCGACTGCAAGAGCGAGTGAACAACATGACTTAAAGCCTCGCCTCTCTCCAGACTACCTTGCTGGGTCTCGGATATTAATAGTCTTGGAAAGTGGTTTCTACAGCTGCTGCCTTGCCTGAAAATAGCCACGCTTTCCCCAAACATGCACATAACACTGCCTTCTCTTAAAGAGAACCTCCAAAACAAACAGTAGTCGCCCTTGACCTGCTAAACAGTGATCGCATAGAGATGGGTTTTTATCCTCACCTTCTTGCTTGTTCAGTGAACAAGGAGTAACAAGCAGTCCCTGCGTGTGCCCCGATCTGAGCCGGCGTACCATTGCTGCTGAGACTGTGTAAAGTGTGCATTGAAAAACACAGGAGACTAACATTCCAGTGAACACATTTTCTTTCCTTTCTTACAGGGTTTTGGAAATTTGCCCATCTGCATGGCAAAGACCCACCTTTCTCTGTCTCACCAACCTGACAAAAAAGGTGTGCCAAGAGACTTCATCTTACCCATCAGTGATGTCCGAGCCAGCATAGGCGCTGGGTTCATTTACCCTTTGGTCGGAACGGTGAGTGAGTCACATTTTCTAAAAACCCTTCCCATTCCGCATGGCTGTGTTCCTCAAATCATTATGCTCCGCCTACTCTTTAAAAATCATGTGTTAGGGAGAATTTGGGACTAATTAATAGCACAGTATTTGCTGTTTTTCTAAACACTCTGTCTCACCTACCTTTGCCATTATAGTTTGGGTTTTTCTTTTCTTAGATCATGTGTTCAGGATCCTTAGAGTCATAATATTAATTTCCTTCCTAAGGCAAATAAGAACAACACTTGGGAGAATTCAGTCTGTTATTTAAATGGTAGCATGGCTTAGGACAGTGGTTGTCAACCTTTATCAAACATGGCACTCAAAATGATGTACCATGGTGGAGTTGACTGCTCATGCCAGGCGAGATCAGCCCAGTCACCCCAAGGGCTGGGGAAAGCAGTCCTCACCCTCTCCCACTTCCCCAGCACATCAGGTGGGAAGCTCTGACTTAGGAAATTAGCAAATCACATGAATTCTCATTTTCCATGTTGTTGTGATGGGATTGCGGCGTTGCTGTTGGATGATTATTCTGTTATTTTGTGTTATCTGTAGGGGTAAAGGAGATGAGCAGAGACATAAAAGCTTATCAAAGTGCTTAAAATCCATGATGATGGGCTTTATTCATAAACTGCTTCATTATAGCTACACAGTGATAACCTTCCGTTGGTACCATCAGTGGCCTAAATTTGACCTCTTGTCATGGGAGTGCTCCTGAATTTGATTTAGAACAAAAAGAAATTCTTAAAACCTGGCAGATCCCATGGCAAACAAAGAAAAAAAAAATTCTAACCCATCATCATCATCATCATCATCATCATCATCATTACAAAGTGATCTGAGCCCAAACAGCATACATTATAATAATTTTTTGTAATAAACCATGTGGCTCTATTGTGCACACAAACAATAAATAGACAAAAAGTAGAGATTCTTGCCTTGATATTTACATACTTCATCTACTACTGGACACATGTTTTTTTAATCTGCATTTCTTGAATTCTTCCTGCGTGTGAGGCACAGAGATTTTAAGAAGAGCAGGTGTAAGATGCATAGGTTTGAACAGCACAGAGGTGCCTGGAGGGCACTGTGTTGGCATTCTGAGTGCCCTCAGAGCCTGTGAGGTAACAGCTCATTATGCCTGGGACAGAATTTACCCGGGATATGGAGGAAGAGGGGAGTCAAGAATACTTCAGAAAGGGCTCAACCTCTGAACTGGCAAAACAGAATGAGTTTTGACTCAAAGTACTAATACATGGCATCCTCCCCTGGGGTGGGGTGGGCCAGTGTGGCTGGAGTTGCATGAGGTAGGGAGGCTGGGGAATGGGATTGGGAGTGGGAGTGGGGATAGCAGGATGGGACCACACGGCCAAGGGTCTTGAAGACCATCGCATAGAACTTGAGTCTGATCTCGGACACACTCTGGAGCCAGTATAGGGTGGGGTTTTTTGTTTGTTTCTTGGTGTTTCTTGTTTTTTGTTTTTTTTTGTTTTTGTTTTTGTTTTTAATAAGGAGAAGAATATGGTCTTATGTGTATTTTAGAAAAATAGCTGTGGCAGCATTTTGGAGAATGTTTAGTGAAAAGAGAACTAGGCCCAGCAAGGTGGGTTAATTCAGCTGGGGCCAGAGGCAATCAGGGTCAGTACTTTGGCCACAGACGTAGGTACGGAGAGTGGAGGTCAATTGCAGGTGTACTCCAAAAGTAGCCTCCTACCATGGGGGCCGGAGGGAGGGACTGTTCTAGCTTGGTCACTCTGGATGGTGGTACCATTGGTTATGTAAATGACATGGGAGGAAGCAGATTGGCAGGGCCAGAAATGAGCCTGGCTTGGACAGAGAGCTCGGAGAGTTATCAGGATCTAAGGAACAGTGTGTGCCGCCACTGGAGATACAGACACAGCACTCCAAAGAAAGGGACAGGAAGATCGGCCTGGTGGGTTTAAGGATATATGGGTGAAGGCAGTCATTAAACAAGAGAGACGCAGTGATAGCAAGAAATCATTGAGAACAGAGTAAAGGAAGACGCCCTTGAAACACCCACGTTCACACAGCTGACTCCTTGCAGTGGGGGCCTTGCAGGAGATGGGAAGGAAGCAGCAGTAGAGTGGCAGAGAACATCCAGAAAACTCCCTCAGATGCTGCTTGCAGCGGTATTGACACAGGAAGCAGGATCCAGATGAAATGAGTTCTGAATGGGTACTGAAGAGCATGCTTTCTATTCCTCAGAAGGGCCTCAGTAAAGGCCACTTTACTCTGGACTTTAGTCAGCGAAGGCCTTGGCTTAGGGATAAGAGGGTGGCTAGGCAGTCCAGGCCCAGACAGACTAGACTATCCGAGGAGGTGAGGGGTGACGGAGGTGCCCAAACAGAACATGAAATGGTAGAGTAGCTGAGGAGGTCAGCCTCCTCCACGATCTGTCCTGTCTTACCCCCTGCGGATTCTAAACCCGGAAGTAGTTCATCCAACAAATTCATTCATTCGCCCAATGCCACATAAGACACTCAGTTCGAGGCTACAGGGAGCCCCAAGCTAACAAAGCTTTCTCTGCTTCAGGCAGTTTACAGCCGGTAGATGCAGATAGAAGTGAACTAGCAAAGAAAATAGTTTGGTTTAAAAATTGTGCATTTAACTGAAACCTTAATTCACTTCTGAGCATTTAATAGCCATTAAATAAAAACCAGGGCCTGGCACAGTGGCTCAAACTTATAATCCCAGCACTTTTGGAAGCCAAGGTAGGAGGATTGATTCAGGCCGGGAGTTCAAGACCAGCTTGGGCAACATAGCCAGACTTCATCTCCACTTAAACAAAAATTAGCCAGGCGTGGTGGCACGCAGCTGGAGTCCCAGCTACTCAGGAGGCTGAAGTGGGAGGATTACTTGAGCCCAGGAGTTCGAGGCTACAGTGAGCTATGATCATACCATTGCACTCCAGCCTGGGAGATAGAGTGAGACCCCTGTCTCTACGAAAAAGTAGACTAAAATAATAAAAATCGCAATATAATTTAAAATCTTTGGAGTCACTGAACAAATATACAATATGAGTCTCCTCCTTCTCCAGCTAACAGCACCATATCCAACACCAGCTAAAGACCACGGCTATTCCGGAAAATCAGAATCTGTTGCTGTGGCTTGTACCTGGGCACCAGGCTGGCCACTCCTGGTGTCACTCTTTGACTTATGACTTGTTAGAAAATGAATGTGTGCAATGACCCTGGAGGAGCGGCTGCAGCTCCCTGGGTTTCCTGAAGTGAGCCCTCTATGTCATTATCTGGTCTTCTCAGGCCTCGGCCGAGTTCCTCCTGTGGCCACACGCGAGGTCACAGTGAGCGTCAGTGCACAGTGATGAAATCCTCCTGGAACAATCGGGTGTGGGGCGTGAGGAAGGGAGTGGTGCCTGGCTACAGAAGTTCCTGGAGGTCAGGAAACCGTCACTGGAAGCGGGGGCCTTAGAAGCCTGCTTTCTATGACAGAGCAGGAAGCCACATGTGTACTGGAACACACGCACCAGAAGGGCCAGGATCTCCTAATAAGGGCTGGTATTTACTTTTACTTGATCCCGTTCCGGGCCTTGCCACAGTCTGCTGAAATGCCTTGAACATTCATCACCCGGGTAGGAGACAGGATAGTAATTTCCTGCTGAGATGACTGAGGGGAAGCGGAATGGGAACACCAGGGGGACTGGCTCCGGCGGGTGGGAAAATTCGAGCAAAATGAATCACTTTTCTGCTTAGTCACCCAATGTGGGCTTATTAGAGTGCTGCTGAAATACATATTCATCTATCCCCTCCAGAAATATAGTCCAAACTGAGACCTCAAGATCAGAAAGGCTCTCATTCTTCCACAGGGTTCATTCATCCACTCAGTGAGTTATTAAATGCCTACAGCACTCCAGGCCATCAGTCACATGGATATGAGAAAGATCCAGCCCTTCCTTCATAAGCCTTATGATAGACTCCAGTAAATAAAACCATACAGGCACCAAATGTGGCGGGCTTTATAAGAAAGGCAGAAAGCCCCTCTTGTTGTGTCCTTGAAGGCGGCAGAGAAGCTCCCCTCTGGCTCTAGTTACAGAATCCCAACCCAAGCAAGTCCATCCTCGACAATAAACATCTCCAGCATTGCTGGCTTTGGAAGACGCCATGGTGAGATACTGGAGCTTTTTTTCCCTCCAGATTTTGCTTTCTAAATATTTACTTTTACTTTTCATCTTCACTTGTAGGCCAGAATTTTTTTTCCTACCATTGAATTATTTCATCATGTTCACCACAATCAAATAATAATAATAATAATAGTAAATACTATCACCTGGTGTAACAGCTTGCCTAGTCTATTTCACTTCCCATGCTGTTGTTACTGAAGCTCCCAGCACAAGCATTCCCAGCTCATGGATGTCTAAGACCTTTGCTCTCATTCTTACATGTATTGCTAGTGTGTTCCGTATTTCTTTATGGTAGCAATTTTTTCTTCCTAAAATAACTTTCTTCATTCCTCGTGAGCTTCATATGTATTTTACATATTCTTGCCTCTTTTTTAGGATATTATACATATTCTTGAAAGCTAGAAAATAATACAAGATTCTTGACTGGCATAGTACCACTGAATACATCTTTTTATAAGAAATAGTTTGGCCAGGTGTGGTGGCTCACGGCTATAATCCCAGCCCTTTGGGAGGCCAAGGCAGGCAGATCACCTGAAGTCAGAATTTGAAACCAGCCTGGTCAACATGGTGAAACCCTGTCTCTACAAAAATACAAAAAAATTAGCTGGACATGATGGCAGGTGTCTGTAATCCCAGCTACTCAGGAGGCTGAGGCGGGAGAATCGCTTGAACCTGGGAGGCAGGGGTTGCAGTGAGCCAAGATCACGCCATTGCATTCCAGCCTGGGCAGCAGAGCAAGTCTCTGTCTCAAAAAAAACATGACAGCAACAACAGATCTTTGATGTGGGAAGAAATGAGCAAGTTGTTTTTTAAGGGTTTCCAA